GTGTGTGTGTTTTATGTTTTTTAACTTTGTATTTTTAAGAGTGGATTTTGGGTATACCATTTGGCCTCAAAATTACTATGTAGCCCAAGATAGCCTTTAACTTCTGCCTCTTTAGTTCTGGGATTATAGGCATGCACCCCATCCTTCCCAGTTTATGCACTGCTAGGGATCAAACCCAGGGCTTCGTGCATGCTAAAGCAATCACTCTACCAACTGAGATACATCCCCAACCCTCCTCAAAATCCTTCCTTCCTTCCTTCCTTCCTTCCTTCCTTCTTTCCTTCCTTTCCTTTTCTTTCCTTTTCCTTTTTAATGGGGCTTTTTGCTACTCTAACATTCCCTCCTCTGAAGATGTAACTGTAAAAATCTTTTGAACTCTGTTCTGTTCCTTGGCCCATGTTTTAATTGGGTTACTTCCTTTCTTGATTCTTTGTTTTTTTTTAATCTTTTAATATTTTATTCATTGTTTTTATTTTATGTGTATGAATGTTATGCCTACATGTAAGTTAGATGTCGTGCAATGCCTGGAGAGGACAGAAGAGGCCATCAGATCCCCTGGAACTGGAGTAACAGTTGTTTGCTGCCATGTGGGTGCTGGGATTCGAACCCAGGTCTTCTACAAGAACAGTGTTCTTAACCACTGAGCCATCTCTCCAGCCCTGATTCTTTGTTTTTTGAGTTCGTTATATATTCTGGATGTTAAACCTCCGTCAGATGTGTCACTGGTGAAGATTTTCTCCCATTCTGTGGATTTTCTCTTCACTTCCTTCATTGCTTCTTTTGATGTACAGAAGCTTTTTAGTTTAATGAGGTCCCATTTGTTAATTCTTGACCTTATTTCCTGGGCAATTGATGTCCGGTTTAAAAATCCTTTTCTACACCTATATCTTGTAAGTTATTGCCAATGTGTTATTCTAACAGTTTCAGAATTTCAGGCTTCACATTGAGATCTTTGATCCATTTGGAATTGACTTTTGTGCAAGGTGAAAGATACGGCTTTAGTTTCATTCTTCTACGGGTGGAGATCCAGTTTTGCCAGCACCATTTGCTGAACATGCTGTCTTTCCTCCAGTGAATGTTCTTGGCCCCTTTGTCAAATATCAGGTGGCTGAAAATGCATCTACTCATATTTGGGTCTTCAATTTTGTTTCATTGATCTATGGGTCTGTTTTTGTGCCAGTTCCATGTTGTGTTTATGACTATAGCTCTGTAATACAGCTTAAAATCTGATACACTAATCTCCCCGGCATTGCTCTTAGTGTTCAGGGTTGCTTTGGCTATCCGTGGTCTTATGTGCTTCCATATGAATCTTAGGATTGTTTTTTCCAATTTTGTGAAAAATGTCATGGGGATGTTGATTAGCATTGCATTGAATCTATAAATGGCTTTTGGTAGGTTGGCCATTTTCACAATATTAATTCTTCCTCTCCATGAGCATGGGAGGCCCTTCCATTTTCTGATGTTTTCCTCAATCTCTTTCTTTAAAGATTTAAAATTTTCATTGTAGAGGTTTTCAGTGTCTTTGATCAGGTTTATTCAGGGGAATGTTTCCATATACTCTTTCTCTGATTGCTTGTTATTGGTATATAGAAAGACTACAGACTTTTGTAGGTTAATTTTGTAACCCG